CATATCCTAGAACTTTAAAAAATTCCACAAATTTCAAAAAATAAGTCCCAGTAACCTCTTCATCGTATTTGCATTTTTTTTTCACAAATTTAATGACTTTTTTCTTGTAGATAAGTCAAGTTTTTCTTATCTATTTCTTAATATCATGTCATCTTTGGAGACGGCGAAGGTATCCAAGGATATATTTCCTAGTGAAATACATCGTGTAGCAATTGATTCCACTGGACGAGTCGGTTCACTATATGATGGATATCGAGATTGTATTCTGCAAAGATTAGAATTTCATAAAATAGAAGAAACATTTAACATAACTGAGCCGAGACAATGCGAACTAATAAATGGTCAACATGATCAGAACCCAAATATTTTGAAAATAATGCGTATTCAAGAAGAATTAAGATTGAGCTTATTATTGAATATATCAAAAAAACCTGGAACAGACACAATGATTGATTATTGTCAACCCATCAACAAATGCACTCGTTTCATTCAATATTCCTCTTTAAAACGAGAAGAAAAACTTCCTGACAATCCTGCAAATATTAAAATTGTCAATAGATTACCAACATTTTCCACTGCTGCAACTCATATTATTACGAAAGTTTATTTTGGAGTTAGTCTCACTGTTATTTTACAATTGCCAAACGTTCCGAACACAGTTGAAGCGATTGATAAAGTACTTATAACACTTTGTAACCGTTTACAAAATCACCAGAGCGCTTACCTATTAACCACATATGAAAAAAATGTCTTAGAAAAAATAGTTCACACACGAGTCTATTCAAATATACCTCATTTAAAAAATCTCACTAAGATCTGGGATGTTTGTTGTTTGATACAACAAAACCAATGTTATCTTGGCACTTATCCAATATCCTACACTCTTCGATCCATGAAAGATTTCTTTTCTGAATATGATGGAGGTAATGCACAGTTCAATATTCTACCTGAAGAGTTCAATGAAGCTATCGAAAATTATGTATTTCAACTAATAGTTAGTATGAAAACATTAGAAAATTCTATGACACGAGATATGCCAAAATTCTTATGTGAGTACTTGAAACGGCAATTTAATAACATACAAACACAATGGCTGGATGTGAAAAAGAAATTTACAAATGAAATAGAACGACTTTCAAATTTAGTTGTTGAAATTCGAAGTTGTAGAACTAACAACTTCATGATTCATGACACACTTTACAATAATGAACAAATGGCCATGCAAACCAGTGTTACTGATTTAACTCAGTATCTAAAATGTTTGGAGAAAAAAGAATATTTTATTAGGAATTTACATCGGCGAAGGTTTCAATATTTGAACGCTGATGTTTACAAAATCGATAAAACAGATAATGAGAAAAGAATTGCACATAAACTGGTTAATGATAATCAATATTATCGAATTATCTGCTCAAACGATTGTTTAAACGAAAATAATATTAATGAGTTAGAAAAACTAATATCTAATTTAACCGAAGAACTAAAACACAATCCTAATTTATATCTTATCTATGCTGATTTTTCCAATTCTTCTTTTCCATTAGCTAATATGATGGTATTGCAATCGCCGAAAACCCTTCTCAAGTGAACAATGATATGATGATGATGGTCATTAAAGTACATATAAATTAGTTTTTTAATCATTTTATATTCACTGAGACAACTTTTCAAGACTGCAGATGTGGAATCTAGATTAACATCGTATAATCTGAATGGACCTGCCTTTAGTGCGAGTAGAACTTTGTTAGGTAGGATCGGACGCCGGTTAACCTTTGAATAGTGTCGAGTTCACTTTTGTAACACACTTAATCGTTCCTTATGTATTTTTACTAGGATTCTATTGGAAATCAATCTGTAAAAGAGATATTGGTACATGTTATCCATAAACACTATAGGATTTGCTTTTGTCGTTGTNAACTCATAATTTCGAAAAACCGACTTCAGATTTGGATTCTCTGACCCCGATTTACTTCCGTCAACCTTTATAAAAAATCGTTACTTTCCTAAAAACTCTTTCCCTGACCAAAAAAAAATAAAATTCAAAATTTCGAAAAACTAATTACAGATTCGGATTCTCCGACATCGATTTACTTTCGTCAACCTTTATAAAAAATTGTTACTTTCCTAAAAACTCTTTCCCTGACCAAAAAAAAAATAAAATTCAAAATTTCGAAAAACTAATTACAGATTCGGATTCTCCGACATCGATTTACTTTCGTCAACCTTTATAGCAAATCGTTATTTTCTTAGAAAATGCTGTTTTTTGTGAAAATCGGCTTGAACCAATAACCGTTGGTACGGTTACCGTAGTTGGACCGATAACCGTACCTACGGTTATCGTCACCATTGTATCCCTACTATATACCTTATAATGATTTAGAAAGAGTACCCCTATATACCCTATAATGACTTATGGAGGGTATCCCTATGTATCCTATAATGACTTATAGAGGGTATCCCTATATATTCTATTATGACTTATAGAGGGTATCCCTATATACTTCATAATGGCTTACGAAGAGTACCCCTATTTATTTGATAATGCATTGAGTTATATAGATACCCAGTCCGACTGGTACCCAGTCCCCAGTTCTGCACTGGCACTGGTGCATACCTATCCTAGCCTAGACTAACATTGTCTGAAATTTTGGTTGAAATCGGATGAAAAATAACAAAGATGATTTCTGAGGGGGGGGGGGAGGGGATCTTAAAAAAGCAGTGGTCTGTAAATTAGAAAAACCTAGTTACCAAATATGGTCTGAAGTTTTCTTCTGAGCCGAACTCTATTGAGGAGGTTTGGTACATCACAAACAGTTCCTACGAAAACACTATGATAAATCATTCAAAAAGATGTTATATTCTGTTCCCCTCAATAGATGGTTCTCAGTGACGCTAAATACACACTCGCTCATTATTCTTTTTTGATCCTCTTTGGTCTTTTTTTATCTCTTCATCTTGGCTGATCAGGCAGTCTCTTGTTTCTGTCACTGTTGTTCATTTGCTTTTCTTTTTCACCATCATCATCTTTATATTTACCGTTGTTATTATTATTATTATATTCATTATCACTATCTTGTTATGTGCTCTATTTGTTTACTCAATAAAACATATCTCTCTGCTATAACGGATAAACATCATTATGGCATCAAAAAACAAAATTTGGGGAAGACAGTTTTGATAGAGAACTGTCATCTTTCAGGACAGACAATAATTCCAGCTTTGTTACTGTTGAGCCTATGTAGTTTACGGAGTGTAAACAGTTAATAACATCCATTCGATAGTGTCACATGTTCAATAATTGAATCAATGAAGAATTTGATTGAAAAGAAAATATTTCTAAAATTATATCAGAGTTTCCAGAGAGCAATGCCTGCTATATAAAAAAGCTAAGCATATTCTGAAGTTTAAAAGTTTGTGTTTTTTGTGATCATTATTCAGTAGCAATAACTTCTCATAGCAAAATAACCAACAGTAATTTAAACAATGTTTGATCTGTTGAATTTGAATAACAATATTGTTTCTGTTTGCTTACTTTTTGATTAAACTATATGTCTTTAAGTCATAATTCATTTGTCAAATTAATAAATGGCGATGAGTGATAGAAAAAGAAGATATTTAACGAAAAATAGATCCGAAAGATGACCTTTAAGTCATGATAGTTAAACTTCTTGCAGAAAAATTGACTTCAGAGGACTCCTAAGAAAAATGAGAAGTTCTGCAAAATCATTTTCATTGAGATACATGTCGTTTTCTGCCCATGTACGTTCAAACTTAAAATCAAAATTGAATCAAGAATATGTGACTGCGCTAACATTGATTTTTTCATGTTGCTTATGTTCAGAAAGAAAAATGTCGGTTTCAGCTACGGTGTCTTACAGTAAAAGAAAGGATACAGACTTTTTCTTCCTAGTATTATAACGAGTAAAATGGCATATAATTATAAAATAAGTAATGAAGCTAACTAGTGTGCATAGTTTGCAATATGCTAGAATCTACTGATTGTCTAGTGGTCTTCTTGTAGGTTCAGCAAATTTCTGACGGTATTTTATTCGAATACATTCAAAATTATAGAATTACATGCAGTTTTTTTCATAGCGCATCTAACAAACTTTTTTCCGAATTTCTGTCATCGAGAACAGCGATGGAAAAAGCTACATTTATTGTAAAGTTGAACATTTCTCTGGTATATGGAAAAAAATTCATTTTTTTCAGCGTTTTTTATATTTCTTGAAAATTTCATCTAAGAAAGCGGGTTTAAAAATTCATTTCTTATAGATACTGTTGTAAAGCTCATCGAGTTGTATTGAAGCATGTAAAAACATCGCAAAAAAATTGCTCACCTCTTGAATTACTTGTATTTTTCAAAGAATGTGGAAAAGCTGGAACAGTAATTAGATTCTAGAAAACTAGTAATGTTGATAGAGCGACAGCTTGTTGACAATTGCTTTTATATCGATGCAAAATAAATGCAGTTCTTTAGCACGCAACTTGACAGTGCTGGATTCTTTATCTATATTTTGCATTGTCACACGTCAAAATTCTGTTTGGCTGGATACGATTGTCGAAAACGTACTTCAAAAGAGAGAGGCGATTGTTAGTTTGAGCAATATACTTAGCTAAATATTTGTAGATTGCGAAAAGAGTTGATTGCAAAATTCCTCAGTACTAACCTATTTCTATGCAACGAAGAAACGAAAAATTAGATATACAGAAAAATCGTCCTGTCCTGTACACTAAAATTTCTCTAACGTCAATAAACCCTTCAGATTCTTGCTTTACACCTCGAAAAACATTTTAATCGTGTTTTCATATCGTGAACTCTACGATAAAAGGTTTGCAATGAAAAATATGCCGTAAACATTTCTTTTCTTCAGACATTCAAATTTTATTGATGAGGAGAACTTTTTAAAGACAGATCCATTATTGTTAATCACGACACATTTTCTTGTTTGTTTATGATCATTTATAAATCTTGAAAGAAATACATTTGTACCAAACAGCCGAAACGAATTCTAGCATTTTCAAGAAAGAATAATCGTTTCGACGAGGCATAGAAACTGCTGACAGTATTCTATCAAAAATATTGCTGAATTTTGATAAAAATAATAAGTGAAGCGAAAGTTGTTATAGATTTTTTACGCTATGCTAACAAGAAAAAAGTTTTAAAAAGTAAAAAAAAATAAAGTTGAAAGTAAAAGAAAGTAAAAAATAAAATTAAAAGAAAGTAGAAAGAGAGTTGAATTATTTATATTGTAATAGAAAAAAATGACATATTCGGAAGCAGCATTAAATTCTGCATCCAATGAAATAGGACTCCATAGAACTAAAAATAAAATTTTCGAATAGTACCGAATCCCCTACAAGTTGCAAACTAAACAGTGAAAAATACAGGTAATTTTTAACAATCAAAACCGTCAAGTTTTACTCAAAATTTAATGCTGATTCCAAATATACCATGTCTTTTGGAAACAAAAGAAATAATTCAAGTCTCTTTTCTTTCTTTTGACGTTTTTTTGCTTTCCTTTTCCTATCTTTCACTTTCTTTTTCACTCATTCAACTTCTTTCTTATTAGAGGTGCGTAAAAAATCTAGTTCTCTCTTTTCGAACACGAAAAGCAAAAAGAAAGTGAAAATGCCAGTCATAGCACGAAAAGTGATTCCAACATTTGCGCTGTTCCTGAGGTGCAATATATATAGAAGGCTTCGTGGAGAAGAGTATTTTTTTCTCGAATAGAACATGGAAAATATTTTTCTCCAATTCCTATTGCTTTTAAAGATGAAACAGATACTACAAAAAAAGGTTTCTAATCAAAACTATTTTGGAGCAAGTTATTTTTTCTGATAGTGCATTGAACCAAAGTAAATGAGAGAGTAGGTAGAGAGCTTATACGCGAGAAAGTTGAATGGTAGGCATCAGTATTTTTCCTATAAATGTTTCTTTTCTACGATTGCAGCATTCTATAGAGGAGTAAAGAATCTGCGCATACGTTGGAACGACGTTCCCGGGAAAGAATGATCTTTTGGGGAAAATTGACTTTTGGAAAAAATTACATAGGGCATAGAAAGTTTCCACCAGATAAAAATATGAATTTACTCTTAAGCGGGAAAGTTTTTCTGTCTGTATAGGAATGAGCAACTATTTCTTTTAGAAGGCATTGTAAACTGATGAATTAACCTAACCGATCGAATATGAAATTTTTTTTTATTTTCGAAGCGATCACTATATATATGTAGTGAACGAGTTAGGAAAAAAGGAAAAGTAATGGGAAAGCAACATGAATGAGAGAAACAATACCAGAACGATATCAACTTGGGAAATTGCTAAAGCTTGATACGTTGGTGGTCAGTCGCTTAAGACGAAAAGAAATAGGAAAATTACCAACATCACAAGATTGTCAATAAGCTCAATCACAATAGGCACAAATCTTGATATAGTTGTGCCTTTTTAAACTTCTGTTTGAATAAAATGATAGCTTGATAAGGAGCAACTCGATCTAATTCTCTCTTGACATAGTGCAAGTAAACAAACGACAAGCTGTCTCGTACGCTTAAAGATCGGATAGATTCAACATCCCTGAGTCTATGTAT